TTCCCTACTCTATCCTTTGATCAACATCAACCCTCCCCTTTCATCATATTTCAAACCACTAGTTTTAGTAGCATAGATCATATCACTCCACTGAGCAACGTTTAAAGCCTTCTTCCAACGGAAGAACCACTTAAATTGGAAGACTCCTTGGACTGCAGAAACTTTATCCAGCCTAAGGCAGAATACATGCCACTGACCACCCTTTCGCCATAGAAAGCTGATAACGGCATTTATAACATACGAGTTGAACGTGGGGATCACTTCACGGATACCACTATCATCAGTCTTTCACAGCAACTTGGTAAAGTAGGTCAATAGTTTTGTGCACATGGAGAGGCAAGTACTGAGAAAACGGACTACCCCCTGGACAATGCGTGGCAGAAGTGAGACTTGCACCGGAGACTTGATAGCTTACTCTCTCACAAACACTGCTACGCCACCACAGATCCTCTCTACAGTAAAACTGCCTCGTTTCCAAACTCGCTACTTCCCCCTACTCAGTTCTCACCACCACCACCTCCTCCCACGACAAAAAACCAAATCCACCCGAACCCCCAACGCAGTGTCGGCTGCAGCAGCTCCTCCAAGCTACCTTCTCTAGGGGCGCCTAAATTCTGCCTGACCGGCAGACTACGCAAACTGGTAATCAATACCTCTTCCCGACTATCCCAAATCTCATTTCCTGAACTTCGCTCCAGAAAATCCATCTAAACTCAATCCACATACCCTTCCTTCCTTTCTTTAAAAAAAACCCTCCTTTGAAACGCCGTGAAAACTACCTTGTCGCGGACTCAGGCACTACTCTAGGCCACTTAACTCTTTCCAAAGGACCTTCAAAGCCCCCTCTGATCGCGTGGCGAACGGCGAGGCAAACTGGCGGGAAGGTGGGCGTGGCTAGCCTGAAAGCGTTCCGCCGGCGGAAAAGCTGTCGGGAGACTTGCAAAGAGCCGCAGTGAGGTGCTGTGCAGGGGCAACCACGCTTTCCCGTGGCTCCGTGGAGATTTAAAAAAAAGTAGACTAGAATGACGTGCCCGCTGATTCTGGCATTATCCAGACGTTTTGGTAGATGTGGGAAGAGCACAACGTCGTGTATGGCTGAGACTGGTTGGTTTGTACAGGATCGTCATCGCTCTGTTGAAGGAACTTTACTATTGAGACAGTCTCCCTTTTCCAGCTGCAACTAACATCCCAATCTCATATCTCTGTGTCTCTTATGAGTGAGGATTATATATTGTGGCTAATCTCTCTGTTAGTTGGTGAGGTTGGAAGGAAAAAGAGGGAAAGATCTCACCCCAATCACATTCACGTGATCCATATTGCAGGGGTAGACAACAAACAAGCCATTTTCCTGAGCAGTCTCCCTTCCTAACCACAGTGTTCTATTACCAATCACTACATCCTTCCTATATTTCAGGCATGAGGTTTCCCAAACATAGACCTATTTGCCACCAGATGGAACAAGAAAGCCCCCATTTTTTTCCAGGGCTGGCCATAACCCTGCATCTCTGGGCAATGCCTTCCAAATCCCTTGAAGAGGAACCATTTACACCTTCCCACCGAACCCTCTTCTGGGAAAGTTCTCACCAAGATAGCTCAGGAAAGAACCCATGCCATAGTGATAGCGCCTTTTTAGCCGTGGTTCTGCTGCTGTGTCCCAGCATTGTTTTCATAATTTTCTTCTAGCTCAGGACCTTCTACATGAGGGCTCATTATGGTGTCACAGTCTGCAGAAACTAAGGCCCCGGTCATGGCAAAGTTGCCACGGGAGATGCACGGGAGTCCCGCAGATTTTCCGGGCGCGATCACACCCCAACATCTGGAAAGTGCAGTGCTCCCGTGGCGAACCCGTGGCTCCCCGCCGAAGGTCCGGATTAAAAAACTAGTACTTACAAGGTACTAGTTTCCAGAAACCGCGGGCCAAGGGCAGGCGTCTGATCGCGTTTCCGGTGGACTTACGTGGCATCCGGTGCTTGTCTCCACAGGTTGCGCAACAGCGCCCAACAGTGCATGCGCACAAAGAGCGATTGCTAGTGCGATCGTGCCGCGCGGCTTCTGTGCCGCGCTGCAGGATACCCGTCTGGTCGGCATCTCCCCCCTAACCACGGGACCTCGACCGGGACTTGTGCTCGGGCGGCCGCACGTTAGTTTCCTCTGGGGCAATTAGCCACACCTCCCCCCCCCCCCCCCCCCCCACTCGCCGGCATTCTACTTGTAAATCCTATGGCTATAAATGGCAGAGATTCACCTTGTGGCTCTCAGTTACTGGGCATAAAGCCTCATCTTGTCCATTACCTTTAATTTTAAACTACCTGTTACACCTAAAGATGTCAGGCCTCACTCATTCAGCTGTTAAGGTATACCTTGCCGCAATCTTTGTCTTCCATTATGTTATGTTCTCACATTTCACCTCCAAACAATTTTTGAAGGGGTTATATAATCTTTTATCCCCCTGTAACTCATCCAGTTCTGCAATGGAGCCTTTCTCTCATACTCTCTAGTTTGATGCTGCCCCCATTTGAACCCTTAGCTACATGTTCTCTCCCCCTTTTATCCCTCATGGTATGTTTTCTGGTGGCTATTTCCTCTGCACACTGGGTGGGGGAGTTGGCTGCCCTCAGAAATGACCCTCCATATATCCAGTTCTTTCCAGATAGGGTTGTTCTCAAACCCAGTCTCCATTTTTTGCCTAAGGTTTTCTCCAAGTTTCACCCCAGGTGATCCCTCTGCCTGCCTTTTTTCAAACCTCTCTTCACCAAATGAAAAAGCACTCCATATGTTGGACCTTAAAAGAACTTTATTGTACTATTCACATTGTACCACATGTTTTCGCAAGGAACACTTGCTGTTTGTCATATGGGCCCTCCTAAGGGCACTGCTTTGTCCTCCCAGATGATTTCATGCTGGATTGTTCAAACCATTAAACGGTATTCTTTACATGTTGGTGTTGCCTGTCCTCCCCCTGCAAAAGCTCATTCCACCAGGCTCTCACCTCATCAGGAGCTTTCCTCCATGGTGTTTGGATCAACAATGTCTGTAGAGTGGTGACATGGTCCTTGGCCAACACATTCGTCAAGCACTATGCTGTGGACATTGATGATTGTTAGGAGTCAGCTGTGGGGAAAGAGGCTTGCATTCTTTGTTTGACTAGATGATACTCCTTCCACTGTCTCAGCTCACCCCATCTCCATTGGTAAGCAGCTTGTGACATCCCAGCTAGAAAGTTCTCTCCTGACTGGCCTGCACCTGCACAGTTCTAGATGTGTGCCTCCATGGAAGACAATTCAATGAACAACAGTCACAGGTAAGTGCAACCCTGTTTAACTCTTGTTACATTACCTTATGATCAGACAATATCAAGATAGGGACCATAGGATGTCTGATTAGATTTGCTCACGAATTATTGTTAACCTACACAACTATGTATCTTAGGTTTATATGTAAAAATTAATGAAAAATAAAGAGTTTTTGTCCTTGTACCCACAGTTACATGGAATGACCCATTTACTCTGATCAGAGATTTGCAGAATAAAGAAAAGGAAGATTGAAGTATTTATTCCCAAAACATTCATTGATAGTACACTCAAGTAGCCACACCAGATTAGACAAATGTAATGTTCCTTAAAAAAATACCAATACTACAACCTGTTTCCCAGCTAGTTCATGCTAATATTCTGGAAAAAAGAACAGAGGCACAGGAATGGGGAGAATGAGGCCCAAGCAAATAGGCAAACGGCCTTTAAAATATTCTTAAATATTGTTGATTTATGGCCACAATTACAAAAAAATGTAAAACATTTTATTGACTTTTAAGAAATTGTGTTAAAACTTGGGCAAACATTTTAGTGTTAAAATCCGATCCTATTCTCAAGGTTTACAACAATTCCATTTACAATGCAGGCCATAACTCATGTTCCTTCAGGCCACTAAATGCTATAGCTTTCTAAAGGCCCTTGGAGCCCTTGGCCTCCGATGGCTCCTTCAGTTTCTCAGGTGGGAGTGAAGGCCTGGCCAGTGAGGAGACAAAAGACCCCTGTTGTATCTTAGGGGAGTGTGGGAAGAATACTTTCTTCACATAAGGCTTAGAAAGGCCAGAGACAACATGTAGCACCTCTGAAGGCCTTGCACTAAATAAGAACAAAGATGGCAGCACAAGTTCCTGGTTGGTAGGCCCTATAATGGGCAGGGAGCCAGTAACCGTCTGACCCTGTTAAACTGTTATGCCAGCCACGTTGAAGCGTACTGGAATAAAAACATACAATCTAATTTAGCCATCTAGCACAAAAACAACAATAAAATGTTAGTTTTTCAGAACAATTAAAAATCTGCTCATGTCAGTTTTGCCACACTTCTAATCTAACATCATTACATCTATGGAAGCCTACCCACAGGATGCTTCAATCTATTAAAAATATTTTTGGGGAAAAAACAACAGTCATCGTATTGGCAACCTAGAGATAGTAAATATTAGTTTGGCATGGAAAAGGTGGCACAAATTTGTGTGTGACTTGCTATACCCCCTCCCGTGTAAAAGATATTTGTGAGAGCTAAACACTTCATAGAAACTCAAACATAGCTGTCTTTTTGTTCGCAGCCTTAAAACAATTCAATCCAGGATAGTTTCACAAACCTCACTATGAATCTACCATGTCAATAAATGATTTTAAGGATTGCAGAAGTCTAAATGGTGCTAAATTCAAGGACACACACCCATAGGGCAGGAAAGTGATGTGAGAAGATAAATGGTGCGACAAAAATCAGACAAGCTGGAAGAGTGATCATGGCAATTTCCTGCAAGAGTGAAAGTGTAGTATACATGTGTGGGGAGTCCTGAAAGTACAAGTTTTACATGAAATACAAGTATAAATATACTGAGGACCATATTCCTCACCTGGTGCTCAGCATCACATGTTAAAAGTACATTTCAGTGGCTAAACTTAAGTTGGTTTCATAGTCTGTGCTCCAGCCCAGTGTCCATCTCTTCTCAATATCTACCGCTCTGCCTCAGAGTTAGGTCACTAGGAGGTAAAAAGGTTACAAGCAGACGGTAGAAGAAGAGATGCCCTCTAGTCCTGTACCCATTATCTCTTGCTGCTTCGCCGTGTCTCTTTGCCATTGCTGACTGGGTTGGAGGAGGAGCTTGTTCCCAGTGACCCTCCACTCTGGTGGTTGGGCTGACTCCGGGTGATGCGACCGCTGGTGGGATGGGTGGGGACACTTGGTGGGTGTGTGGAACTGCTAGGGGTAATCAATCCATTGCCATTCTGGTTATCAGAGGCTTAAAAACAAGTATAGGAGAGAGAAAAAATATTACTGAAACCATGGAGGCTAAACCGTTAAATGTTTCTGGGATACATTAAAAAACATACTTAATATGGAAGATAGAGATTTAGTTCTAAATTGGTTAGTAACTGCAATAATTGGATGAAACGGCATTTAAGATGAATGCTGACTGGGTAGACTGTAGAACACTCAAATTTTACTGTCAGGATATGATATCAGATTAGCTGAAGGGAGAGAAACAAGCAAATGGTTTTGGGGAAATGAGAATAAATCTGAAGAAATATTTCTGCTAATATATTACCATTCTTGATACATTTAATATTGGACATTCTTTAAAGATCCCAGTTTTAAAAAACAAAGTGTGAAGACTTTAAAATGTTGCAATGGTTCAGTGGCATATTTCGGAACAAAATCAAGACATCCTGCCTGATTTACACATGCAAGAGAACAAGGTAGGAACAGCATAGTAGGAAGAAGTGTATGTGTCAGACTGCAGTTGGAGGAACACATGTTGGAATGTTCTCCTATATAAAAAGCTCGCTGGAAACAGGAAACCTACACAGTAACTAAAATCATTGGTAGCTTTCTCCCTGCTGCATTAGTTTTCTGTAGGCTCTAGCTGTCTCCAGTTCTTACTTATATCTGGTTTCTAACACCCAGATTCTATAGAGTATTAGGGACTCTCAATACATTTAAAATCAGTGGGCTTAGGCACATCTACTTGCATAGAACTACTCCTGTTCACCACTCTGACTAGATATGCAGGAATCAGAGAGGTACAGAAGGTCATGCAGCATACAGTGCACTTTTTGTTGTTCAGTCGCACAGTTGAGTCCGACTCTTCGCGACCCCATGGACTAGATCACGCCAGGCCCTCCAGTCTTCCGCCGGCCTCTGAAGTTTGCTCAACTTCATGTTCGTTGCATCTATGACACTGTCTAACCATCTCATCCTTTGCCGTCCCCGTCTTCTTTGACCTTCAATCTTTCCCAGCATCAGGGTCTTCTCCAGTGAGTGCTCCCTTCTCATTTGGTGGCCAAAGTATTTGAGCTTCAGTTTCATTATCTGGCCTTCCAGGGAACAGTCAGGGTTGATTTCTTTTAGGATTGACTGATTTGATCTTCTTGCAGTCCAAGGGACTCTCAAGAGTCTTCTCTAGCACCATAGTTCAAAAGAATCTATTCTTCGGCGCTCAGCCTTCCTTATAGTCCAACTCTCGCAGCCATACATGACTACTGGGAATACCATTGCTTTGACCATGCGGACTTTTGTTGGCAGGGTGATGGCTCTACTTTTTATCATGCTGTTTAGGTTCGCCATCGCTTTCCTCCCAAGGAGCAGGCATCTTTTAATGTCATGGCTGCTGTCACAGTCTGTGGTGATCTGGGATCCCAGGAAGGTGAAGTCTGCCACTACTTCCACGACTTCCCCTTCTATTTGCCAAGGAGTGATGGGGCCGGATGCCATGATCTTAGTTTTTTTGATGTTGAGCTTCAAGCCCACTTTTGCGCTCTCCTCTTTTACTCTAAGCAAGAGGCTCTTAAGGTCCTCTTCACTTTCTGCCATTAGAGTGGTATCGTCTGCATATCTGAGGTTGCTGATCTTTTCCCCAGCAATCTTATAGTGCACTACTAGTGGGCTAAAGAATCTGGCAAGACAATAAATCCTCCAGACCTCCTGGCTAAACAAGTCATGATGTGCATCACTCACCTAGAGCACTCAGTTTACTTAGCACTGCTAAAGATGGCTGCCTACCTGCTGCTGCGGAGGAAGAGGAGGGGCCTGGTACAGTTTGAGACGCTGCAGGCGCTGAATTGTCATTCTGCGTCTGGGGAAAACAATCAAGATTATTCACACATTCTGGCAAATGCAGAGGCTCCTCAGAACTTTTTAAAGTGAAAATACATGTTGATTTATTTCGTTTACTTCATTTATAGCCCACATTTCTCACTGAGAGTCTAGGTGGATCACAAAATACAGAAAACAATTCAGTCAGCACAAGACCTCCAGTAACTATGCAGTAGGGCTACGATCACAGAAATTAGGGAACAATGCAAACAAAACCATCAAAGGCATGGCATACCATAACTAATGTGGAAAGCGGATTACCTTTGTAGCAAGACAGTGCAGTAGCAGCAGGATGATACAAACAATAAACATTGCAACAGACTACAATCCTGTTCCCTTATAAAAGTACCCTCCTGGACTGTGCCATTATACTGCAGTTCTGATCCCATCATAAAAACTTCTGCTTGGCATATTCCTTGGAATAATAGAAGTGTGGAAGCCTTCTTGATGGTAACAGTCTCTCAAAAGTATGATGGAAACCAATCCAGTTCAGAGGAGAGGGGAAGGAAGAGGGTCAAGGATGGATGCTACAAACAGGCCGGAGTAGAGCCCTAAAGCCTGGTCCTGGAACCGGCAGAGTTGCCAAGTCCACAACCAGAGAAGGCTCCTGAATTTTTAAGAACTGCACAGGAAAAAAACCTCCATTCAGTGCAGATTCTCCTTCTCACTGTAGCATCATGGTGGAAAAAGCCACACTCAATGAAGCTCTACATACAGTGCTGCTCTTACAGGTGCAGATGTCCTCCCTAAATTGTGGACCTGGTAAATCTATGGGCATGCGTCCCAAAGAGTTGCCCTGGTATCCAAAGCTTCCTTTTTGCTTTCATTCCTGAGATCAGGTAAATCTATCAGCAGGCTGTTCCAGGGTATAAATAAGTGTGGGAGAATACAGAGGAGTAGAGGAAGTGGGTGGTAATGGGAAACAGATGAAGGAATGTCTGTTGCATGGCTCTGGTAGCAGAAGGGAAACTGGGATTTCAAGAGTACCCAGTTTTCCTGTGGCAACAGAAGATACAAAGGCACCCTGTGATGGAATAAAGAACAGCCTCAGGAGTGGGACACCCCATGGGGATATCAGATACTCCCACAATTTGAGCCAAAGTTACTTCACTTGTCAGCATCAACTATGGCTATCCTATTATACTCACATTTTTGTTTTGTGACTGTTGGGCCACATACTCTGGGTTTGGCTCACTGAAATTTGGCACTTCAGAATAAACCATACAAAACCTGTGGTTGAAGAGATAGGAGATAAAGTGGTCAATGAAGTGGTGGATGCATTGACCACACTTTTCCCTCTTTTGCAAAGCATGCGGTACTGTATTAGCAGCAACATACAGATATTACACGCTAACTACTGGCAGTGATAATAGTACCCAGAAACACCACATTTCAGATCCTTTTTAGGCCTGGACTTGCCAGACATCAGTAAATCTTTGCACTACAGGTTTTCATAATTTTTCTTCAAAGAGACACAATCAAAACCAGACAACACGCAAACTTATTCAGGCTATGCTGTCAGAGTGATATGGACTAGAACTATTCAGTACATTACTAAAAGGGAAAGTCAGTGACAGAGATGGATAGCAACAGTTCTGCCAGTGAACTTCTATTGAAGGTAAGAATATGGCTGAAGATCTGCGGTGGCTCAAGTGGTTAAGACGCTGAACTGCAGGCTGTGGAAGGTCAGTAGTTCAGCAGTTCGAGAGCCGAGTGTGCCGCATGACAGAGTGAGCTCCCGTCTCTAGTTCCAGATCCTGCCAACCTAGCAGTTCGAAAGCAAGAAATTGCAAGTAGATAAATAGGTAGCACTACAGTGGGAAGGTAACAGCGTTCTGTGAGCCTTGGTGTTTAGTCATGCCGGCCACATGACCACATAAACGTCTTCGGACAGCGCTGGCTCTTCACCTTTGAAACGGAGATGAGCACCGCAACCCTAGAGTCAGATTTGACTGGCTTTCGAGCAAGGGAACCTTTACCTTTATGACTGAAGACCCGACTCCAGTTACACCCATGCACTAGTTACCCACATTAAGAAAGTGGCATGATTAGAGCAGTAAAAAATTTTTAAACTCAGGAAAATCATACTGTGAGATTTTTCATGGAACTATTTTGGGTACCCTGGGACTAAATTGTAAGGGGAAGTGATACACAAATTACCTCAAAATAGATTCTGTTGGTCAGCTGTGTTGGTCTGAAGCAGTAGAACAAATTTAGAGTCCAGTGGCACCTTTAAGACCAACAAAAGTTTATTCAAGGTATGAGTTTTCATGTGCTTGCACACTTTTTCAAAAAAAAGTGTGCATTCACATGAAGCCTCATACCTTGAATAAACCTTTGTTGGTCTTAAAGGTGCTACTGGACTCTAAATTTGTTGTACAATTTACCTCAGAATGCAAAGTCACAATGTGTAATCCAAAACGGACACTTCTGTTCTACAAAATAGAAGAGAATAAGTCCTGCAGAATTAGCAATGCAAGTCTAAGCAGGGGGTGTAACTTTGTTTAGGATACCACTGTAAAGGTTGTGGACCTTTGTTCTATGGCTATGGAGCTTTATGGTTCCAAAGCCAGACCACTCTCTCAAGATTCAGAACAAATGCCCACTAAACTGAAAAATTTACCATAATGTAAACTACATACAAACATCACAGATATATTCTGCTCTGGAAGTCTCGGGGAGTTCATTCCATGACTTCAGGGTAGATTATACTCTCCATAACCACATTATTATTTCGCCAAAACTAGGCTTTGCATCTGAACTAACCAAGCCCACCTAACCCAACCCTTGAAAGCAACCTTGGGATAAGCTATAGGTCTTACTCTCCAACTTTCTGCAGATCTCCTCCACGTCCAGTGTATAGAGTCAGGCAGCCTTTGAAAGTTGATGCATACCTGGATAAAGAGAAACCCATGCTCAATGTCAGCACAACAAAAGCCCTCCAGCATGAAATATATACTAAACTCACAATATAACATCTGATTTTGGCTGCCCTTGGAGCATCGCATGTCAGCTCACCTGACTTCTGATTTAAATCAGTTGAGCTTCTGCAGTCCTGTATAATAATGCATGCCATCTGAGGACAGTTCACAGTGCCATCCTAAGCAGTTACACCCTTCTAAGTGTGCTGAAGTCAACAGGCTTAAGAAGCATGCGACTTTGCTTAGTGTCGTATGGTACAAGTGTGCTTTACGTCTCACTGAAGTCAGTAAGACTTAAAACGCTCTTAACTAGTTCTCACATAGGCCCAACATGCTTGCAGGGAAACAAAGAAGTGCCCAGTTCATCAGACCAAGGCTGTCATTTTCACTCTGAACTTCATGGGTGCTCCATATGAGAGATTCCTACTTGCACAACCTTCATCTTTCAGGTTAAGGGACCCATTGCCAGACGGCCCCCCACATCATGGATGCAGCACTGCACTGTGTTCTGGATTCTTTTAAACACAACAATGAGATAGTTAAAGGCAAGGGTTTCTGTTTAGAAAAATGCTGTTTTTAAATTCTGCCTGCTTATCTACCTAAAAAAAGTTATGCCATAATATGTACCCAGAATGCATGCTTAGTTATCAAGAACAGACTGGGAAGAGAAAATGGCCCTGAAACAAGCAAAGCTAAGCAGCCCTTTTGGCATTGCAGGGGCTTAGCCGTGTCTGCAATGGGCATGAGCTCATCCATTACTTCCTCCAGTTACTACTGCTGATTATCTGAGCCAAGTGGCCCCTGAGGTGTTGGCAGAGTTGCTGGGGTTCAGCTGTGCTCATGCCTGGTCACCAGAGGTCCTCTATATCAGTGACTCACTGGGAAATCTCCCCATTACCTAAATGATCAGTCTACCCTGCTTGGTTACTTTGGCAGGGGTCCTCCTGTACACAATTACAAAACGTTTTTACCACCGTGTTCCCAAACACTGTCAGTCTTATAAGGTGTCTAAGTTACTATCTATAGCTTTACTTCCCCAAGTTGTTCCCACAATTATTTGGGATGGATTCATATATATTACTACTTTCAGGACAGAAACATGTTTATGAAGATTGATAAATACTTGCATCTTTCTTAGTGGCTGCCTGTCATGGCTGCCTGTCATGACCCCCTCCGACCAGCTCCAAGGCCTGGGCCAAGGTGGCCCAAAAGAGGTGAAGTGCTCAGCTGGCTGCACACAACCCCATCCCAGAGCCAGGCAGTGAGAACCATCAGTCTTTGCAAGATCCTGGCCAAAGCACAGTGCCGCCACAGGAGCTCAACACCTGCCCGCAGGGCAGCTGAGCCTGATTGCTTCCCAGCCTATTTAGGCTGAGGCTTGGGAAAGCTGCCTTGGCTGATTAATCTGTTCACCAGGCACATGCCTGTGTTCCAGCTCCAGCCTCCAGCTGACACTCAAGCCTCACTATTCAAGCCTGTGAGCACTACCCATCATGGAGACCTGACTGGCCCTGCCTTCAGAATACAGGACACTGCCTTTGTTTTGTGACTGTTCTCATACAATGGTTTCAGACATGAGAACAATTGTTGGTGCAACCATGGATCATAAGAGGAATATGTCCATCACTTCTCCAGAATGAATCCACACAACACTTTTGAAAGGGATCAAAGGTGCCTTTAATGCAATTCTGAACCCAGAAACACTGCACATAATAGTAATGTAGTTGTCTGGGAATGTGAAGGGTCAGCAAAGAGAAGTGGGAAGGCACTTCCCTTATATGCACCACTAGCTCTATAGCACACAGGGCTGACTTTTTCCCATGTGTTTCATGCCCTTTTTTCATGAATTTCTTGTTCTGTGCTAAAGCCAGTGTGCTCTTTGGCTCTGGATGTTCAAAGGCTGCCATCCAGAAGAAAAGTAAGAACTGCTGTAATGGATCAGACCAAAGATCTGTTTCTCAGCATTCTGTTTCTAACAGTGGCCCAGCAGTAGTCTCTGAGAAGCTCACATTCAGGGCATGAAGGCAACCACTGTTTGTTCTTAGCATCTGGTAATCAGAAGGGATGAAGTAGGTGCTCTAAAACTATGAACTGACACTTTTCATGCTATCACTTCAGTATCGTGACATGAAATCAAAATAGAGAAAAGGTACTGAAAAGGTCACTGAGGATCTTTTCAGAAGCCTCCACATGAATGTGCTACAGATGGTGGACGAGGAATGAAATATGCTAGCGCTGATAACTATCCTTCCCCAAGTGGCAGGCTTGATCCTGCCCTGAATGTTAATGTTTTGTTCACAATCTCCACTTTGCCAACCAACACCTCTCATGCAACTAGATAATCCTAGTCAGAGAACCAGAGCTAGGAAAACCGGGAAGCGTATTGAAACCTAATACATTTGATGAGAAATGTAGCTGCTAGAACAAAAAAAATTGCTCAAGGACAAATTAATTAACAGTACTAGCCTATGCATTGTTTCTTCTTACTAAACCTATTGAAATTAATGGGATCTGACTGAAGTAATTATAGATAGGCTAATCATATAGACATAATACTTTAAAAATTATGCTGGTTTAAGGGCTATGAAGGAGACTGTGCTACTTATCATCTAAATAGTACCACAAGGGTTGTCTTTTTTAAAGCCCTAACTGAAAGAAATCAGAATGCAGCAAAGCTAGTTAAAATAGACCACTTGAACCTGAATGCAACTTCAACCACTGTCTTTTCCCAAGATCTCTCTCTGTGCAGGAAAATGCAAGTATTCAGTAACGGAAGAAAGGTGGCTGAGTTTTTTTTCCTTCCACAAGCACACCAATCAGATGGCCAATACATACCGTGGCTGCTGGTGTGCCTATGGTGAACTGTGCCCATTAGGAAAAAGTCAGATTCCATGTACATCTGAGACTTAGCTTTCTTTGTTACTCATGAAAGGCTTTTACCATAGTTAAGTGAGTGAGATAAGCTGCAGAATCAAATGCTTTCTCCCCATCCTGCTCCCCCTGCAGCCCATTCCCCCTTCAGTATGACTTCCTCCTCTGAAATGAACCATAATGATCATTATATTAGGCCAGTTGCCAAGCCATCATTAATGCAAACTAGATTCTGTAATCCATGGCTGAAGAATGAGCCTTGGTTAGCAGTAACATCTGTGACAACACAGCCATGTTTAGGGTTAGTGGGGAGAATCTGTGTACAAGGAGAAGGGTTTGTGAGATGAGAGCAACAGGTGGTCTGTTCTAAATACCAGGCTCAAAGGCCAAGACATATTACATCTGAAGGGACCCAGAGAGAATGAATAAAACTTTAAAGCATTGTCTTCATTTTGCAAAGGGAGAACACATACTTGAAAAAAGCAGCTCCCAGCTAAGTTTTGGCAACAAAAGGAAACATCCATCCCTTTCCCCACCTTCTTGCCCCTCTCCCTCACTCACACATGTAGAGACGGAGGGGAGAGATGGGCAGAAACCCACCATTTCAGCCCAATCCTAACCATAAGTAAGTCCCACTGTGTTCAATAGAAGTTGCCTCCAAGAAATTGTAAATAGGGCTAGAGTATTTAAAATTGTTTTTAAAAACCCATCTTGCAATTTCACACAGACACTTCTTTCTTAGAAGTCTTTCAGCTAACCTAAAGAAATCATTCCCATTCCCCACCCATCCCACTCCAACTGGAAGAATGATCTATACCCTTTGGTGAGTCGGATGATGTCTCCTGGCTGAATTAGGTTGCCAATGTCGTCCCACACAGAGATGTTTATGCTGCCAGTTTTGTCTGCTACTTTACATGTCCGTACTTCATGGCCATCTTTCGTCTTGGTCACCCGACCTGGTAGTGAAGCAGTTACCATAATCTGATGTAATTAAGAGGATATTGCTGTTTTTATGCTGAAACAACAAAAGTTCTATCCCAGCCCCAAGCCCATGGAAGCTGTTAGAAGCATCACTGCACTCTACCCCAGAAACAAACAGAAAAATGGAGAAGAAAGTGTGCTCTTAAAATGTATTGCCTCACAACAACAAGTCTCAGTACAAAACAGTAACAAGTATAGAAGGTAGAAGTGGAGGGGACTGGCTGTGGCTTAGTGGAAGAGCATCTGCTTTATAGCCAGAAGATTCCAGGTTCCATGTCTGTCATCTCCAGTTAAAAGGGTGATACAAAAGACATCTGCTTGGGACCTTAGAGAGCCGCTACCAATCGGAGTTGATAATACTGCCATTAGTTCAGTATAAGGCAGCTTCATATATTGAAGTGCAATGTTCATTAACAAATGAGGTGTGAATATTCTGACATAAATGCTAACTGGCAATACCCAGTGGTCAGGATAGGATAACCTTTCTTCTGAATCAACAGAATTTACTACTATGCTGAAAATAGAATTCTGTGTGTAGGACTATACACTCAGCATGATGGGACATTACTCTGCTTACCCAATTCACAGAGTCTTATTTATCAGTATGTAACTATTTCAGACATCTCATTAGTACTCCTGCAATATCCTCACTATTTTGACGGTAAACAGAAGGAAGTCTATACACAACCATCATTACCTAAAATAGATAACATTGTATCACACTACCCAGGTATGCAGAAGGGACAAACATACTGGAACATCCAGGAATGCATCCAACATTTCTAAATAGCAGTGTGTGGGGGAAGTCATCCCAATTTAGATTAGGCCTACAAGTTTTTAACCCTTTCTTCCCAATGTCATTTTCTCAAGTCCCAATGACTCCCTTTGCCTTGCCGGAGGAAACATACTGCCTGCCTATCTATTTCCCCCAATGGAAAAAATAGCTAAGCTACTCCAAGATGCCATTTGAGGTCTGAGAAAACAGCACAAGCTGCTGACTACCTTGGCCTCTGGACTGCTGGCTCATTTAATTCCACCTGCTGGGCTTTAACTCCACCCCTTGCCTAGAGATGATATAAAGACCTGCTACCTGGGATTGGAACAACAACAACCTGGGACTGGGAAAGGAGAAGATGTTTACTGCCTTAGTTTGCAGACTACCACCTCTTCAGTTCATCTGCATAATTCTAGTTACTCCACTTTAGGGTGGGGGGGGAATCTACACCAGGACTTGCCACTGGCCCCAGACCTTTTCATCTCTAGCAGCCACAGCCTGGAAGTGATGACTGGACCAGCTGCTAGGGGTAAGGCTTCTGTCATCTACCTACCCAGGGTTTTAAATTGCCACCACGTCCCAAAGTGCCATGTGCTCCCATGCAACTGTTGTATTAATCTTTGGCTCAGTAGGCATTTTGTTTTTAGGTAGGGGTGTAGTATTGCCCCTCCCATTGCTGGTTCTAGAGCTTTTTTGCAACTGTCAAACCAATCTTTTGAGATCAAAGGGATATCAAGAAGGGACTGGGTGCCAGTTTGAATTTTACAATAACAGGGGTGTGAGTAGTTGATTTCTTCATGGATTTGGCTTCTGGGTCATTATACTGTGGTTTTAAAGTTTGTAAGTCACTTTTAGGCCTCTAATTCAGGAGAAAAGTGGCATATAAGTATTTTACATTACTAAGAACCTTCCCCTCCATACTGTAATCCTAATCACATACACACACACACCCCAGGCTGCTGTTTACTAATAAAAAACATACTGGAGATCTGCTGGGAAATCTTCCAAAATCTTTCTCACATTTTTATGAAACATAAATGAATTTGCCTCCCTTCTATTCTGTACAAGATTTAAAAAACCAAGATAACTATAACAAGCTTTTTAAAAAAATCACTCACCCGTTTCCAGTACAATGAATATAAGGTTTAGGTTTTTTAGGCCTGGTTTAATATCCTTCACCAAGGTTTCCGTCGTCATGTTCAATGCCTTTTGATTTCCGGTATCTGAGTAAACTGTTTTTGCAAAACAGTTAAAACCAGCCAGCAAAACAAACAATAAGAATATTGCAGTACATAATAAAACCTTGTTGTGACCATACTGTTTAACTTTATTTTGTGCCCTCCTCTACTGAAAGTACTGTTTCATGGTCTACATTTATGAAAAATTCTACTGAGTATAGAATCATAGAAACACAAAGTTGGAAGGGGCCATACAAGCCATCTAGTCCAACCCCCTGCTCAATGCAGGATCAGCCTAGAGCATCCCTGACAAATGTTTGTCTTGCCGCTGCTTAAAAGACTGCCAGTGAGGGGGAGCTCACCACCTCCCTAGGCAGCTGATTCCACTGTTGAACATAACCATAAAAAGTTTTTTCCCCCACCCTTAATTTAAACCCATTATTGTGAGTCCTATCCCCTGCTGCCAACAGGAACAGCTCCCCCGCCATCCTTTAGGTGACAGCCCTTCAAATACTTAAAGAGAGCAATCATGTCCCCCCTCAACCTCCTCTTCTCCAGACTAAACATTCCCAAGTCCCTCAGCCTTGTCACTCTCCTCTGTACCCACTCCATTCTCCTCTGGCTTCCAGTTCCTGGCCTCCAATAGCAGAACATTAAAAACCTATTGTATATAACTTGCATCACGTTACTTTATCAACCCAGTGCAATTTAGACTCCTCCCATTCTCACTGAAGGGAAATTTCTTTCGCTCCAAAACTTATGTAGGACTATAGCGTATTTTTGGAAGTGATGCTAAACTTGAAATGTGTCTACTTTGCATATCAATAATGCAAGAAAGAAGTCAAAGAGACTAAGTTCTGGTCAACATGACTCTTCAGTTTCTAAGCATATGAAATCCAAATACTGTGTAGTTGCTCAGATCTCTACTCAAGAAGATATAGTCTGAAGCAGGGATTGGTAACCTGGCAAGAGTTCCACATGTCATGACCAAATAGCAGTACTCTATTGTACATTGTACCCCCACAAACATGGTGTAGTTTCATACCTTGTCTAATATTCCAAGAATCAAGCAGGTCATATTACTAGGGAGATATGCAGGAGTACAAGTCTGACGTTTTATACCACAGAATTACAGAACTTCTCCTCAGGCATGTCACAAACCTCTTTGCCTGTGCCAGATGCACACCATGCTGTGAAGTGATCACCCATGTCCTAGGTAGATACTTGTTTGAACTACTCTTAACATGCCCTTCCCCATCCAGAGTGGAAGCTGCTGAAAACACTTCCACACAGCAGAAATGTCATATGGAGGCTGTAACTATTAGAATCTGTTTACCATATGGATCAGTATATGAAAATGGTGTTCGTGGCCTTCCCACAAGGACCAACATTATGATGTCTACCCCAAGTCTAACCAGAAGACACCATTATGTTCTACCACACATTTGGAACATTTCAGATATTCCTGCAGCAGTCTCTGCTTACAAAGCATTTAGAAATCACAACTATAATATACCAGTTAATATCTCAACTTTGCTCTCCATTGTCCTAACTAAAAAAAATAAAATAAAAATGACAGTTTGCTCACTTCCAATCTCATATTTTGGATTTCTTCTTTATGGTACTTTGGAGCTAGAAAAATATTAATGCTACATTATTTGACCCCAGTCACCTTTTTAGATTTACTCCTCAAACAGAAAAGCAAATTACATATTTTCCTGGAGATGTTATTTATATTTATATATTTTAAAAATAACTTTATTTAGAAACACAGATGTATACGAAATACAGATCTCTGAATACATAACATTGATTCAGTGAGACACATGGGCTATAACGAATATCCTGATTTATAATTCTGTGAGACAAGCAGAGTACAAATAAAATTTGCCAGCTCACTAAATTGTAATAATATAAATTACACATCTTGATTAGCTTGCCCAGTTTCTTGGAGCTGGAGGATCTGCTTTTCCCATCTGTCAATAAGGATTATTTTAGTATCCACAAGAAGGGTTAAAACAGATTCCAAATCGGATAAAACAACATAATCTTTAATATAACCAAATAATACAACTTTTGGCTATGACCAGTGTTCCCTCTAAGCTGAGTTAATGTGAGCTAGCTCACAGTTTTTTAGCCTCTGGCTCACACATTTTTGTCTTATCTCAGGAAGGATGGCTCCAGAGCAAACTAATTTATGCAGTAGCCAAATCGCTCGCTCACAACTTTAATGCCAGTAGCTCACGAAGTAGAATTTTTGCTCACAAGACTCCACAGCTTAGAGGGAGCATTGGCTATGAGATAAGCTAAAATTTATCATTAATGGATTAGAAATCCCCAAAATTCTGTATTTTTGCACCACTCCAAAAGATACAAACAAAACTAGGACCAAATTATCCACATCTCCAACAACAATCTTTTACATTCCTGTATATAATAGCCAGCCTATGTGAATTAAGATGTCACTGAAACAAATTCTCCTTCAAATCTTGTGGACATAAGTCTAGGCAAAGCAGTATTCAATAACCATTTCCACTCCTCTGGTCTGATGTTTATCTGCAAATCTCTATTCCAGTTATTATGGTAACTAAAAGATACCTCAATATTTTTAAGCAAAAGAGCATAGATAATTGCAATAGATCCTCCACAGTTATCTATGGTCGGTGCAAAAAAAGAAAAGAAAAGCTCACTCTGACATTCCAAGATTAATCTAAAAAAACCCACACAAAGCCAACACAAAACATTAGCACCAATATAATAACAGGCCCAACTGATTGAAATCTTAGGACATATAAGATCACAATCTTTTACTAGCTCTGTTTCCACATGAACATAGACTAGACCAGTATGTATCAAACCATTCATTGAATAAGCAGACACTTATTTGTACTACTGTCTAGCAAATCAGATTGTGAATAAATTAGCTGTAGTAGTGTGTATGTACTCTCCAGATTAAGCAGATCACTTATTCAATATACATATAAACCATTTATCGTTCTATCAACAGTTACCTGTTTTTTCAGCACAGTATGCAAAGTCTCTCTTTATCACTAGTATAAAGCTGGTTTAAAAAGAACAAGCAAAAGCATCCTTGCTCAAACTGCAGTGCTGATCACATGCCACTGTAAGAAGAAGAAAAAAGACATCTTTCCTTGTTTTTATACAATCTTCCACCACCATTCACACCAGCACAAACAAAGTGTACCTCTGGCAAATGTTTGGTGGTGCATGCTTCCCTTCTGGGTGAAGCAAAGGTTGATTTGCTAATGCTAAAGCAAATCCCTCCACCGTGATTTTAGAACACAAGGAAAAAAGAGAGATCTTAAAACTACAATGGAACAACTTAGTGAACGTGCTGGTGAGCAGCGTTCCTCTTGAAGAACATGGATTCTGCCTATCCTACAGCATTCACGCAGCCCTTTCTTTCAAGGCACAAAACACCAAAGAGATTACTGAAATCCCACATCTCCCTTACCAAAAATTCTGAAGCTATTAATCACTTACGTGATAAAAAATAGCCCCCACCCACCACCACTTTTCCAGTGAGGAGACCTGGCAGAACGTCGGTGGGTTGCTGACATTCCAGGAAGTGTCCTGCTGCGTTCAGAGCAGCCAATCGCGGCACAACGCTGTCCTCCAACATGCAGGAATGTTCCAATCTTTCCGCCAATTGCAAGCGGATAGAGTATTAAAGTGACAGTAACACCTACTGGTACACGTTAAATTTGCCCCCAGAGGGTACTGTGATCTGACACTCTACTCCTAAGAATTTCCATCGATTTTGCATTGCACATTATGTTTCGAAGACTTGGACGAAGTTTATATCAATACTCAAACAGAAATAATGACTGAACAGCCATTCAAAAGATTGATTTGCTAGCAGCATTTGCAGTATTTGTACAGCCAAATCACACTTCACTTCTTGCCATAAAGTTTCCAAAAGTTAGTCTATTAACCGTGAGTAAGTCTACCTCAGGGATCCCTGACCTATGGCTCCAGAGACAAATGTGTCTCAGTATGAAACTAAATATAGCTCTTCTAAAAAGAAAAGTAAATGTTTCATTAAGGTATATTGGAGGGGTAGGTGGGATTATAGAACTATAAGTAGGTGAAGGGAATGGCTGGAAAAGATGTTAATGGGACTAAAGAGCTTTTTAGAGATATTTTACAGAAAGGAAAACAATAGAGCTGAATAGCTGCTAGTAACCCAAGTGTGAACCAAATGCAGATTTATGCCAGTACACTAAAACGATTTCACAGGGTGATCCTGTGTATATTTATTAAGCATTGTGAGATCTCGTGTGTGCCCCTTGCTAGTAAAGGACTCATAACAACCAGTATTCAGTGAAAACTTTGTGGATGTCAATCAATGTCAATTAGAAGTAATGTTAAGCTTTTTAATTTTTTTAACTATTTATTTATTTACTATATTTATATCTTGCCTTTCTCCCCAATGGGTGGCCCATAGTCAAATGAAAATTGGCTTTCTTATACAATGTCCTCTTGCTCTGAATTTTGTCGTCATTTGTTTTTTTTTAATTGTAAAAGATTGCTGACCCCTGATCTAGATCTATTACATTACAAGAGAATGGAGTAACTCTGCATAGAATTGCATTGTCAGAGAGCTTTATAGGTGAGTGAAGGTCTAAACTCGGGTCTCCCTAGTCTTAATGCAAAACTGCTACACCACATTGGCTCTCTGAATGCCTTCCCAGTTTGATTTATTGACAAAGGACTAAATAAATAAATAAATGTGATTTAGAATCAATACATTAGAATAAAAAAGTACAGCTCATAGTCATACAATTCCTTGTATAGAATACTGTAGTAAAGGAAATATTCCTCATGCAGCCTCTTGAGCTGGATATATCACCTCCCCGATTTTAGGTTTAGCCCTGTATCCTTTCTTTTCTTCCGTTTGTTCAGTCACTTTTTTCATTTAAGAATGTACTTCAATTTGCACAGTTCACCATGGTAAGATACAAGAATTGTGCGTGGTTTCACTCTTCCTAATCCTCTATTATTAAGAAATTAATTTTCACACTATTTCCAGTAACAGAAGCTCTTCCACAATAACAGAGGTTTGATATTTTGAGAAATGCAGCCTAAACCCTGACTTGTGAGGCCGGTGGATGGAGGGGGGCAACAAATCTTATTTTATATTTGGTACTCATGATACAAGTACTATAAATGTGGGTGTCATCTTCATATGATCAGGACTCTCAGTTGGAGGCCAATCAGTTCTGCAGTTCAGTCAGGAAAACCAGGTTAGAGCCAGCAATTTTACAGAACCCTATTGGTCCATGATGCCACTTGATCTGCCCTGAACTAGTAGCTACAATATCAACAGAACACAGTCCAGTGGCACCTTTAAGACCAACAAAGTTTTACTCAAGGTATAAGCTTTCATGTGCCTGCATACTTCTTCAGATACAATGAAACGGAAATTACCAGTCCATACATATAGGTAGAGGGTGAGCAGTAGATTAGAATACATCATAATGAAGATGTTTAACAGATTCAAGGACCAAACAGGAATAACAAGCTTAGTTTATGTGGTTATCATTTGTTTGGATTTAATTCTGGGAGTGGGGACACAGTGAAGGAAATAACTATGTCAAAATTGGAGACTGATGGGCAGACATATCCTTAATTGTGGAATGCTGCAATATCAACAGTTGGCCATCTGCAATGGTGGCACTGCAGCACAGCAAAGAGAAGGGCAACAGTCCCTTTGTCCAACGAAGTGGCATAGCTGCCTTAATCCAGATACTAGACTTCCCAATTTGATACCTGGGAGGCTGGGCTCTACATATTGGTTTAAATGGATGATCCCCATATGAAATTAATTGCACTCAGGGCTGGATTAACCACTGTCCCTAATAAAATGCATAGCAAAGCTTGAGATAAATTTGAGGGAGGACTGGCCTCTTGCATAATTTTCAGGGCATTTCCCAATATGGAGTGTGTGTCTATCCAGCTACTTGTACTAGGTGCCTTTTAAACTGCCCAAGTTTTAGCGCCTCAGTGGCTGTTTCCCCATCATAAGGCAGAAAAGAAGGATTTGTATTCTCAGCATCTAGACAATTTGATGGACTGGTAATCTGGGAAGTATACAGAGTGGTATATGGCACTGCATGAAACAATGAGGTAGATGTAAGATACATTTAACGTTCCTTTCCTTTAGGTAAGTTTAAAAAAAATTTTAGAAGAAGAGATTGGATTTATACCCCGCCCTTCACCACCCAAAGAAGTCTCAGAGCGGCTTACAAACTCCTTTCCCTTTCCCTCCCCACAACAGACACCCTGTGAGGTAGGTGGGGCTGAGAGAGCTCTAACAGAAACTACTCTTTTTCAAGGACAGCTCTTATCAGAACTATGGCTTGCCCAAGGTCATCCAGAAGGTGCAAGTGGAGTGGGGAATCAAACCCGGTTCTCCCAGATTAGAGTCCGTGCACTTAACCACTACACTTAACCACTAGTGGGACATACAAGGGACATACAAAATAGGATAAAGGTCATGTATTTTTGTCCATACAGGAGAGTGCACGGGGCTTGCATAGAAACTTGAAACAGAGATTACAGTACAGCATCTGGAAAAACCAGTTTCTACTGTGGCATATGGAATGTTGGAAAACTTGAATTATTTGGGCCACAAGGACTGCAACTGTCAGGTCAAAGGTCCAGTTTTGTTTTCTGTCAGTATATGTGCTGCTCTTTGTGTACAAATTGTGGCAAAGGAGAAAGCACGATATGGTCAGAAACATGGGGAGGTAATACTAGTTCAGCATTGGCCTCAGCCCTGACTACAGGCCACCTTTGCCAAAAAGAAGCACAAAGCCCCACACTCTGGCCTGTTATGCATGCTTCAACACGTGTTGCTTGAAAGAATGCTCCAACATTTGTTGACTGGAGAGCTACCCATATTACATAACAAAAAATGCATGTGAAGCACAGCTAACATGCAATTTGTAACAAAACAGTATTTAATACAACAAAAGCATCACAAACACATTACCTACTTATATATACACACTTACATAGACATTGTATGTACCTACAAAAGGGGTGTATGTGGGGGGGGGGGGTAAAGGCCTATCTCAAACAGTTTTCAGCTTTCTCCTCTATTTCTGTTGTCAACTAACATGTCAAACATTTTTCCTGACTGCAGCAAGAGAGTTAGACTCAAATAATGACCGAGGTATCAGAGTATTCACATCCAAAGGCTGGCTGCCATGTCAAAAAATGGTAAAGTTCCAGTGTACACCGCTAGTATCAAATTGCATCAAACTGGCTCAGAGTGGCTCATTGCTGAATTTGTGCCAGAGCTCAGACCCAGTATCAGTTTTCAGTGGCAGGATTCAATCCTGGCGCAATACAAAATAAGAACAGATGGAAGCACCCTTTAGCGGGTGCAGAATACATCTCCCTCGTCTTATTTGGGGGAAAGGGCTTCCAGTTAAGAGGGAATTGTTTCCAGACAGTCATGAGCCTTGACATCTCCTTTTCTAGAAAGGAAGCAATACGCATTACTGTTTTACACATTATTTATCCATTACTTGTACATTCAGGGGACATTCAGAGTCCAAGACACAGCTAGAACACCGCACGAACTTCCTAAGGATGAGGTACTCAGAATCAAGCCCCAGTGAACTCCAGGGACTGCAACTCCAAGCGTCTAAGGATGCAATCCTATACCTAGTTGCACGAGAGTAAGTCCTAGGGGAACTTAATGGGACTTACTTCTGAGTAAAACGCGCATCGGGATCGGCCAGTTAATAAACCTCAGTCCAACAACCTCCTAAACCTAGCGTTGCGCTCCCGTCCATCAGCAAGCCCCGCCTTAACCCCCCACCACACCCACCACTAAGGGCCAGCCCTGCTCAGGCGCAGACCTTCCGGCACTCCGGGGTCTCCTTTGTCTGTCAGAGGAGGGAGCGAAGCCCGAGGAGGAGGGCTGGACTTGCGGCTAGAGCGGCTCTTCGCGTAGGTTTCCTTGTGAGCCCGCTCTGTTCTGGCGGATTCTCGCATCCGGGTTGAAGCTGGCGCGTTTCCTGTGGCGGCGATCGGGAATAATAAGGACCGGGGTTGGCAGAAAGTGGCCTCTTTCGCGCCGGGCCTTGAAGGAGGTATGCGATGACCGGGGAGGGGAGGATGCGAATTTAGTTGGTCTCAGGGATGGTTTTCCAGGGGACGAGGCTGAAGGGGGGCTGATTGTGCTTGCTGGGAGGGGCCGGGGGGGGGGCTGGGCTGGTGGCGGCAGCGGCGAGTGGAGGACGAAGGGGCGCTGCTAGGCTTGAGGGGTCATCCTGCACGCAGGCCGGGGGGAGCTGGTGTGAGCGAAGACCGAGGTGGCAGCGGCGGCGAGTGTCGTTCGTTCACTTCTGGGGTACCGTTAAGGCTGCATAGCGAGGGACGCTTACAGCGACCACAAAGCGGGTCTCTGCCCCGAGGGTCTTACAGTCTGAAATGCGACGGGACGGGCACGCGTTCAGTTGCACCTATTTGTTCTAGACCGGTTGGATTACGGGAGCGAGTGACGGCTAGGGAAGGAAAGATCCGGTTGGGGAGATGGGCTGGTAAATTTAAAGGGACCGGAGTATAAGTGAATACCGTCTGGTTGTTTGGAGGCTGGTCCTTTGCCTGTGTGTAAAATAGTGCTTTTTACATGGAGAGCTCCCCCCCATCCCTGGTCATTTTACATCTCCGCCTGTTTTCCCGGAGCTTGCTCCGGCCAGAGTATGGGCATGATGGGGGAGTGGGCACTGTGTTCTAGTCGGCGGCCTTGAAGGGTGATTCTGAAGCTAAATTGGGAGCAGTGGTGGGTGGGAGGAGGGAGAACACGCCCACCACCCTGAACGCCTTGGTGGAGTACCGATGGGCCTGTTATTGTTTCTTTTTGGCCGCCAGCTGTGTGTGTGGCGCTTGGGCCACAAAAGACAGGTCCCTGGAGTTGAGCATCTAAAAATAGGTGCCATAAGAAGGAAGGCATAAGCTGAGTGGTGGGGTTTCTGATAAAGGGGCCTGTGAGGAAGGAGGACAGGAAGGAGCTGTGGGTGGGTGGGTGGAGAAGAGTTTGAGATAATTATTAGGGAACTGGTAGAAAATATTATGGTTTTATCCCACCCTTCCTGCAAGTAGCTCAGGGTGACTCACATGGCTCTCCCCTTCTCCATTTGGCCCTCTCGGTGAGGTTGGTTAAGTGGGCTGGCCAATACTCACTCACAGCACAGTCCTGTGCAGTTACTTCAGTGTAAAGCCAACAGGCTTAGGCTGGAGTAACTGCATAGGACTGGGCTGTGTGCAAGCTTCATGACAGACAACAGATTTGAACTTGGGTCTCCCAGATTCAAGGCTGATGTTAACTACCACACCACACTGGACCTCTTGGCAGGGAGTGGTGTGTGAGGGGGAAAAGTTGGGAAGTTGAAAGGTGGTGGAGGGCTGTTTTCTGTGAGCTGTTGGGCTGGATTAAAAAGAAGAAGAAGAAGAGATTGGATTTATACCCCGCCCTTCACTACCCAAAGGTGTCTCAGAGCGGCTTACAGAATCCTTTCCCTTCCCCTCCCCACAACAGGCACCCTGTGAGGTAGGTGGGGCTCAGAGAGCTCTTGACAGAAACTGCTCTTTTTCAAGAGCAGCTCTTATCAGAACTATGGCTTGCCCAAGGTCATCCAGCCAGGTGCAAGTGGAGGAGTGGGGAATCAAACCCAGTTCTCCCAGATTAGAGTCCGCGCACTTAACCACTACACCAAACTGGCTCTACTACAAAAGGGAACTACTTGGAAGGAAAAGATGATTACTTAAGAACAGAAGAGTCCTGCTGGAGTAGGCCAAATGTCCATTTAGTCCAGTATGTTACTTCCTACAGTGGCTAGCCAGAAAGCCCCAAAAGGCATGAAGGAACAGCCTTCCTTTGCTGTCTGTCCCTGCCCCAGCAGTAGCTGGTATAGGGTGCCTGAGGGACTGCTTCCACCCATATGTGTCTGCCTGCCTCTCTGGGGAGGCTCTGCTGCTGGAATCCATGTTGCCAGAGGAACATGTTCTCAGTAGCCACTTCATATCTGTGAAACTGTCAACCTCAAACATTGTACCACATTTACAGGCCTTCTGAAGATGATCTTTTTGGTAGGGTCTTTTAAAACTAATTCCTACCCTGATTTTAAATTGTGGCTTTATTGGAATGTTAGTTTTTAATTTTTTGCTTTTACGATTTTACAGTTCTAATTATACTGTACAAGTTGAAGTTGTTTGGGCAGTTCTTGAACTGGAAAGGCAACATATAAGCAGCCTAAATGATAAAACGGATAGATAAAGTACTCTAGGTGCCCTAAACCTGTATCCGTTCAGTGAATAGCTTATATGGGAGGCATGGGAATTTGGGCTGAGAACACAGGCATAAGATTGGAGACTTCAAGGATGACAGAAGACAGGCAAACTGAGATGCCACCCTGGAAGAACCAGATAAGCAGTAGAGCAAAATGTAATAGGGTGGTTGTGGGGTTATTGGCAGGTAGAAGGCATCATGCTGTGGAGGTTGTCTGAGGAGCAGTGTGTGTGAAACTGATGGAAGTGAACTTGAGGTTGCTGCTGGACTGGGGTATGTGCATGTTGCAAGTCCCTTGCTGCGCTGATCTTACTACGCTCTTCTAGAGAAAGCCTGAGAGGAGTGGGTCAGCAAAAGTTGAGAGGAACTAACCAGAGCTCTGCTTCAGCAGAACAGGAACTTTTTGTGAAGGATCTTATGGTATATCCTTGTTTTGTGGCTGGAAGATAGATCTCCTACAGGTGAGGCTAGTAATCCCCGGTAGAATTCTTCTCATGCTTAATGGAAGTGTGCTTACTACAGATCAAGAGTAGTGAAGACCACAGGGAGCTCTTGTTGCTTGTGGCAGTGAAGCAGGTTTTTGTTGCCTGAACTCGGTTGTACAAGTTACAAGCTTGGGGAATAAGCGAGATGGTTCGAGGGCCTGTTGTTTTATCTCATCTAAATGCTGCAGAGGTGAAGCTCTAATTTTCAAAGAGTTGTGATTCATCCTTTGAATGAGCATCTTTTAATTTGGAGAGTACATTCATCATGCAGTATGATAGGAATAGGTGGACTTGTTCTGTGCTGACTGCTCTTCACTCCCATGGCTTAAAAGTACACAGTGTGATCTCAGTCTCACAGTGCATTAATGTGTAATTAATCTATGTGTGCTTGAGGTACAGTTTCTTTGCATCCCATGACATATTTGGAATTATAATTTTCGACAGATCTATCTTGCTTCCAGGATTAGAACAGATGTAGAAATTGTGTTAATCTAGAGCTATTTTCATGCAGTATAAACTGACTTTTATCTGAAGTTATTTTGCAACACCATAAAATTTTGAACCTGTGTTCTTATTACATAACAATAGCTTGTCTTGCTGAAAGCTCTTGTGATCCATACACAGGAGGAGTTTAATAATTGGTATGAAAAAATGAGAATGGAAGAGTAAGAGATGCCTAATGTAGAATACCATGTGGCCTTATTTCTTAGACTGCATCAGTTTGTTGTGGGAATCATTTATTTGAACTGATCTTCAAAATAAGTAGCAGGCTGACCTAGTTCCTTCCTGTGGTGCTGCTACTAGAGCATCCTGTGCGAGGCAGGTGGGGAACAGCTGTCTTCCTGCATCTTATCTGCCTCTTTAAACCCTCTCCTGGCTGCATCTTTGTATTGACACCAGTTTGTTTCAAGGCTAAGTGCCAAGGGCCACTCTCACAGTGCTTGGGGTTGCAGTAGGGCTTGTAGGTTGTGTCCCTTCCCTCCATGCTTCAGACAACTTCTCTGTACATTGCTAAATGATAGCACTTCTCACATGGTAGTGCAGATAGCTGCTGCTGCTTTCCAGGCACAGGTGGTCTTCACCCAGTTTCATTCTCTGCTGCTCTGTAGCTAGTCAATCCTGACCATTGTTAAGCCCTTCTAAGCCCACTGACTTCAATGGATTTAGAAGGGCTTAATTCTGCACCGTTTCTGCTTAAAAATGAATCCAGTGGTGTTCCGTATGAAGTTATGCTTTTCTTTGAGATGGAAAGTAGTGAATGGTTGCTTTAAAAAACTTATTGTAGATGCCTCTTGGTTCAGGAAAATGGTTGTCTGTTGTAAAAAGAACAAAGTTTGAGCCCAGTAGCACCTTTAAGACGACAAAGTTTAATTCTGATTATAAATGGATTTAAACTTTGTTTTTCTTAAAGATGTCACTGGACTCAAACTTTGTTCTGTTACTTCAGACCAACACAGCTACCCATCTGAATCTATTGTAAAAAGAGTTTCATTTTATTAAATAACAGCACGAGCAGTACAAGAATAATAACCTTAGAGGAGGATGTGTTGCTTCACTTTCCCCTGTTTTCTATTGCCATTCAGAGTAGGAGATATATAAATCTGAGACTAGCCTCAGAATGTACCCTGCTTATCATGTTCTTGCTCCAAGTTGTTAGGCAATGGAACTAGGTATTTTGTGGGGCCACAGAGATGCTGCTGTTGGGGCATCAGTGTTAAAATGTTAAACAATTTATTGTGATGTTCTGTTTGCCCTGCCCAAGGGTATGAAAATGGACTGGATTTTTAATAAGGCCTCTTGCTGTCTTATAATTGTCTGTTTGAAGTAAATTACAAGTGTAAAACATATGCAAGTATCTGTTTTGGGACAGCAAGGGTATGTCTCCGTAGCTGCTGAAGAGCAGTTAATGAATTATTATTTCATGGGTGTGTAAAAGGCTATGTGGTTTTTTTCCCCCATAGTTGTTAAAAATAATATATAGACCAGCAACATGTCTTGCCATGTTGCTGTTAATGAGTACTTCTCATTTCACATAGAGATTGGTCCTGTCTGTGTTTAGATATTCCTGTGACAACAGATCCTGGAGAGAAAAATGATGACTTAAAATGAGAAGGAGGGGGAAGAAGATGGGCCACTGTGAGAGACAGCTTCAGAAGAGCAACCCAAACTCAGCTGTTTTTTGTTGCTGTTCAGAAAGGAATTCTACTACAGAAGGTAAAACAACATTATTTTTAAGAGCTCAAATAATTTCTGTTTTCCTAAAAGCCCTCCTATTTCTCTGCATATCAAAATCCAGATAAGGCTGCTCATTTCCAGCCTGTGGGTGGGCTCAGTTTGTGACATATCCTGTTGGTGTGCATTGTTTTCTGTGTGTGCGTTTTTGTTCTTTGTTTTTTTGGTAGGAGGAGCAAATGGTGACATCTTTAAGTAGTATCATATGGGAATTGGATTACAATTTTATGTATACTTTGCTTTTATTTAGATATTCGTATGTTTTGGCATGAAAGGGATTCTTTGGGATTTTGGGATGATGATGATGGTGTAAAAATTGCTTGGAAACCTGTTATTTATTCACTTTTACTCCTAATTATGCATGCAGGCTTCAGTAGTACTGTGTTGCAGGGCTGAAGTGGTATAGAGGTGTGTGATGCGCTTTATAGCTACAGAACTGGTTTTGTCACTTTTGTGAGGCTACATAATTTCAAATTTAGCTGTCAAAAGTGTACAAATATTTAGTTTGTGTAGGACTGTTTGAAACCCTTATTGAAGGTTTGTTCGGACGAAGAGACGAAACGGAACTCAGTCCGGAGGTTCTCGTCAACAATCACAATAACTTCATATATTTCAATAATCACAATAATTTCATGTATTTTCATCAACTGTATTCATTGTCACAGTAATGTTATTGACTTGAGATCAATAACATAATTGGTATAATGTTTGAATATATTTAGCGTCTTGTATGCCAGTCTGTTCATTACATGTTTATCCATCTTTGGACTGGATTCTCCACTTTAGTCTTAATCCCAAGGTGGAAGCAGGGGATCCCCTGCTCCCAGTTCCCATTGGCAGATGTCACTTCCAGGGGAAACCCCAAAGTGACTCCTCTCTAAGAGTTGTCGGAAATCTGTAGTTTTATTATAGAGTTTTCAGCAATTCCTAGAGAGGACTGACATCAATTCTGGGTTGTTCTTGAAAGTGATGTCTCTGATGGCACTCCTGCCCAGGTCCCTGTGCCTTCTATCTTGTCTTCCACTGGCTTGCCAGGCCATCCCCCATTCTTCTATTCAGTCCTCCAGTGTTTCACATGCACTTGCATTGCAGAATTGATCCCTACCAATAAAATCATAACACTGGCTCTTTATCTGTCAAATGACTCTAATGCCATGTGATTTCTTGTCACATGACATGATTGCAGCTGAGTGGGTTCTGTGGTGCAGCTTGGGTGGTACAAGTATGCCCTGGGTCTGGAATGGTTGAAGACCACTCCCCTCTTTTGAAATCTTAAAGTTGTATGTTGTTCATAGAGAAATAAATGAATAAGGCATACTCATTCATGGAGGGTAATCGGCTTGACACAGTGTAAAGAATTTGTTAACACTGCAGAAATACTAAAAGACTAAGAAAAATAACTTCTGGTTTCTGGGTTGGGTGCCCGAGAGCATAAATGCTTTGTTCATACAAAGTCCATAAAAATCTCTTCATGCTTTCATTAAGTACTATAAAATAAAATCATTCCAGTCAACTTTGTGAGTTTTTAAAAAGAGCTTCTATTTTAAGTTCTGTTTAAAATAGCGCATGACCTATGACTTTGGCTTTGATGTTAATGTGGTGTGGGGGGACCTAATGAATGGTGCTGGTTTTCAAGAACGGGCTTGTTCGTGTGTGGATGAATAATATTTTTCTGCTTGGAGATTATTTACTTTTCCAGAAATAATGAATCTTGTTCCAGCTGTATTTGTTTTGGGTTTTTTCTCTCTCTTAAGAACAAAAGAAGAGCCCTGCTGGATCAGACCAGTGGTCCATCTAGTCCAGCATTTTGTCTCACACAGTGGCCAACCAGTTCCTCTGGAGGGCCAACAACAGGGCAAAGAGGCCTTCCCCTGATGTTGCCTTCTGGCACTGGGATTCAAAGATCAATTCTGAACATGGAGGTTCCCTTTAGTCATTGTGGCTAATAGCCATTGATAGACATATCCTCCATGAATCTATCGAATCCCCTTTTAAAGCTGTTTATTCTTGTGGCCATCACTACATCCCCTGGCAGCAAATCCCACATTTTAATAACTCTCTTTATAAATAAGTATTTCCTTTTATCTGTCCTGAACCTACTGCCCATCAGTTTCATTGGATGCCCTCAAGTTCTAGTATTTTTGGAGAGGGAGAAAAAAATTCTTTGTCAGCTCTCGCCACCCTATTCATAATTTTATAAACCTCTATGTCTCCCTCTTAGTAGTCTCTGAAGTCCCAGACTCTTCAACCTTTCCTCATAGGGAAGGTGCTCCAATCCCCTAATCATCTTGGTTGCCCTCCTCTGTAGTTTTTCCACCGCTGCAGTGTCCTTTTGGAGATACAGTGATCAGAACTGTACAGAGTTTTCCAAATGAGGCCGCACCATAGATTATACAGGGGCATTTCAGTATCATCTGTTTTATTCTTAGTCCCTTTCCTAATAATCTCTAACATAGAGTTTGCCTTTTTCACTGCTTCAGCACACTGGGTTGACACTTTGAGCTATCCACTAGGACCCCAAGATCTTTCCCCCCTCTGTCTCAGCAAGTTCAGACACCTATACTTGAAACTGGGATTTTTTTGTCCCAGTGTGCATCATTTTACACTTACCAACATGGAACTTAATTGGCCACATTGTCGCCCATTCAAACAGTTTGTGGAGGCCCTCTTGGAGCTCTTCACAGCCATCCTTGGTTTTCACCATCCTGAATACTTTTGTGTCATCTGCAAACCTGGCCATTACACTACTCACCCTTAGTTCCAGATCACTGATGAATAAATTAAATAGTACATGCCCCAATACAAATGTTTGTAGGACCCCACTGCTTACTTCTTCCCATTGTGCAAACTGTCCATTGATTCCTACTCTTTGCTTCCTGTCATCTAGCCAGTTTTTAATCCATAAGAGAACCCGTCCTTCTATTGTTTTCACTTTCCATGGGTCATGGAATGTCTTTCATCTTTTTCTTAGGCTGACGTCTGTTTGTCTTAGAGTCAAGCTTTCAGGCTCTATAGAGGTGACCTTTGTTGTTTGTTTCCATTAATAGGTGCTGCTTTATGTGATGTCTCAGTTGTGTGACATCATCTGCTGGTGACCAGCTGTCTTGGGCTCATTGCAGTTACCACATGGTCAACATGGGTTGTGAACTGAAATGTGTGTATATACAAATGGGATTTTTAAAAAAGTGAAAGTTAGTCACATGAGTGAGTACGGTGACAGGTCTTGGGCTCATTGCAGTTACCACATGGTAAACATGGGTTGTGAACTGAAACGTTATGTGTGTATATACAAATGGGATTTTTTTTAAAGTGAAAGTTAGTCACGTGAGTGAGTACGGTGACACTGAGGCTGCACTTCAGAGAAGATGGTCATGTTCTTACCATCTATCAAATGAGGATCAAATGCATTGCCAGGACAATAAAAAAGATACATGTTTACGTGTGTAAAAGGCATGCTGATGCTTTTAAATTGCTGTTTATCCTACAGATGAAGTAATGCTGGAACTAAACAATACTGGGAACATTCTCCTGTTGATCCTTCTAGTGGTTTGGCAAAATAAGCAAATCAGGGGGTTGGATCCAGTGCAGGGCTTCTGTGGGTGCAAGGGCTTGTACCTGCACAGCACAACATTTCTCAGTTCCCCTCTCTTGCCCGTGGCAGACCAAAATATTCCTTGAAATCCTGTGTCTGAGTGTCCTCTCTCTCCCAGGAGTAGGATTTTGAATGACAGTTTGGGCTGCTGGGGGACGGGGGGACCCAGAATAGTTGTGTGCTGCGGGTGGAAGTCTTTGCATCCATAGAAGCACTGGATCCACCCCAAGGAGTGTGTTTGGTGGATGTGATGACAAATAACAAGGTTTTTGCCAGCCTACTTCCTGCTTGCTTTTGGGGGGCAGCAGAGCCAGAGTACCCTTTTGCTGCCAAATGGAAGCCTTGCAGAGCCAACTTGCCCATAAAGCAGAGGCAGGCTCTGTTTCTCATTACTGCTTGTAGTTGAAAGGCTGAGTCCTATGCTGTTTTTCTCCTACACACATTCGTATCTTTATTGGGGGGGGGGAGTGTGTTTTGTGAGTTGTGAACAGCAGCACAAATATATTTCTCAAGCAAGATAAAACAGATTAGGCCGTCTTTTCCAGCACAAGATGTACACATTTCAGAATCCTCCTTGTAGGTTGGTTTAGTTTAACTTACAGCAGCATTTGACACAGTCGACCACCCTCTACTGACTCACCGCCTCACAGACATGGGAATCCATGGGGTGGCCTTGTAATGGTTTACCTAATTTCTCCACAGTTGGGGACAGAGGGTGGTGCTGGGAGGGGCAGTTTCTTCGAGGTGCCTGCTGGAATGCAGGGTTCCTCAGCCAGCACCTATTCCGCCTGTGCTGCTCTGGATCCAGTTCAAGGTCTTAGTGTTGATCTTTAAGGCTCTGAGTGGTTGGGACCGCCTCTCTCAATATGTCCCTGGGAGAACATTACACTCTAGCAATAAGAACCTTCTTGTGGTCCCCGGACTGAGAGAGGTCCGGCTGTCCTTGACTAGGGCTGGGGCCTTTTCAGCCCTGGCCCCTGCCTGGTGGAATTCTCTGCCTGAGAATATCCATGCCCTACAGGATGTATTAAGAGATGTTCTGCCAAGCATTTGGTTAAGAACAGCAATGGTTGGCACTCTCATACCCTCCTGCTCACTCCTTCATACCCCATTTATCCAGGGGGCTGGTGGGAACAGAAATTTCTTGTTATCTTAGACAATGTAATGTACTGTTTGATTAATATATTGTTTTTAGTAGTATTCAATGTCATTTAATGGATTATTATTGTGTTGGTTTTTATTTAAGCCACCCTGAGCCCTACTGCAGGGAAGGACAGCCTAATAAGTTGAAAATAATAATAATAATAATAATAATAATAATAATAATAATAATAATAATAATAATAATAATAATAGCAGCAGCAGCTAATGTTATGGTCAAACAGCACAT